CGATTTCACTCTCTTCGATTTCACTCTCTTATAGAATTAATCATTCATTCGATTTCACTCTCTCATTCTTCAATATACATCAAGTATGGGAGAAGATTTGATAACAACACCAGAATTTTTCACCAACGAGGTACAATATTATGTTAATTGATATTTAGATTTATTAATACTTACTTGTACAAATGAAAGTTATAATTTTTTTTCCAGATGTTCAATTCTCGGGAAAAATAACCGAGTGGGTGCACAATGTGGGGCGTTCAGTTGGTTGTGTTATTGTTACGAAAAGATCAAAGGCAAAGCCGAATGGAAATGTTTATAAAGTTGTGTTTATGTGTGAACACGACGGAGCTTACAATTATAAAATAATTCTCATTCGTCATACGGGAACAAAAAAATTTGGATGCCCATTTGAGTTGATAGCGCTATTTTCGGCTAAACATAGTTGGTGGACGTTGACGGTGGTATGCGATGTACATAATCATGTTCTTGCACAATATATGGAGGGTCATGCATATGCATCGCGGCTAAATGAAACTGAAGCTCAACTAGTTGAAGATCTATCAGCCCAACATGTCAATGCCCACACTTACGCACCATTGGACTCGTTATCGTTTTGAAGATGCAAGTACATGGATTGTCTCGTATCAACATAGATTCAGTGCATATGAAGAATATATAGAGCGTACTCATACTCGTGAATATATTGATTTAACATGAAAAATCAAAGTTTTAATTAATAAATTTAATTTATATTTGAAATATGTATTATTAATATTTTATTAATATATATTATTAATTAATAATAATATAAAACATGTTAAAAAAGTAAAAGGTTAAAAGTTAAAATATAAAAAAGTTAGGGTTAAAAGTTAAAATATTAAAAGGTTAAAAAAGAAAATATTTAACTTTTGTCTTTTTGTTTTTTTTGTCTTTATGTGTAGGAAGGAGTGGGGATTTTGGGTAGGAGGAGGTGGGGTTAGAATACCCCCTTTATTTACGTTGATTAAATTAATTAAAAATAAAAAATTAAATACAATTGATGTGATAATATTTTATATTTAAAATATTTAAAAAAAAAACAATATTTTAAAGCACAATAAATGGTCGGAGTAAACCACTTTTTCAAGCCATTAATTTTAAATGCTTACCTGTCGTTTTTATGTGAACCGTTCAAGTGACCAAAGTTAATGAATGAAAAGAAAAATCATGACCAAGTAATACTATTTTTTTAATAATAAATTACATAAAAATGTACATATTTTAACTTGTTTATATTTTGTGTAATATATTTTTTTCATTTTAATACCTAAGATGTAAAGTTTTAAACATTTAAATATCCGGGTAACCGGTTGAAGTATTAACTAGTTACCATGTTGATGTGACGAGTGATGTGATGAAATTAGATTGAATAACAAATAATATTGAATTGGATACCACATCAGCATGATAACCGGTTAATATTTCAACTAGTTACCCAGTTACTTACTTAAATGGTTAAAACTTTACATATTAGATACTAAAATGAAAGTTTTGAAAGTACGTTAAAACTTTACTCAAATGGTCAAAATTGTTCCATTTTATTGTATTTTGCACCAAAAAGATGTTACTGTTTTCAAAATTTAAAAACATCACCTCATCTGTTCCTTTGACATTTGTCACATGTTACTTTATTATTGTTAGAATACGTATAAATAATAATTTTTTTTAACTCATAACTTCTATCCATATGAGTTGCAAATGGTAGAGGGGTAATAAATGGTCACAACTATACACAAAGGTCATAAATGCAATTTCAACCACACTCAAATGAATTATAAGTATCTCACTCAACCCTCATTTTAGAACATACAACTTTCTTGAAGAAAAGCCTTAAATCGTGCCCTTTCTTTGTTTGACCAAACCAATGGCAACCCAACTCACAAAGGATGAGAAGCCATTGAAGGTGGAAATCTTGAACAAAACCCATGTGAAACCTCAAACGCCACTGGGGAGAAAAGAGTGTCAGTTGGTAACGTTTGATCTTCCTTATATAGCCTTCTATTACAACCAGAAACTGATGATCTATACAGGCGAATTTGATGAGTTTGAGGATATTGTCGAGAAGCTGAAAGAAGGGTTGAAGGTGGTTTTGGAAGAGTTTCATCAATTGGCTGGAAAACTGGAAAAAGATGACGAGGGAGTGTTTAAGGTGGTGTATGATGACGATATGGAAGGGGTGGAGGTGGTGTCTGCTGTCGCAGAAGAAACTAAAACCGCGGATTTGTTGGATGAGGAGGGCACCATCAAGCTCAAGGAATTGGTGCCTTATAATGGTGTTTTGAACCTGGAAGGGCTTCATCGTCCACTCTTATCCATTCAGGTACTGTTTACTCGTATTAAACTATTTTTTTTTTAATATTTGTTTCGTAATTAACATGACTGATTCATGAACTAAACAAAAACTACTGATATTTTCATAAAAAAACAATTACATAAAAATGAATAGACAAATCATTTTCAAACAGCTTCCATAATTTCTTGTTTTTATGCAAGAATTCTTGGTGCAACGACGATGTAGTGTTTTATTTAAAATGAAAAAAACACGACAATTAAAATGTGTTTTAACAAAAACAAAATAGATAAAAAGAAATTACTAAATATTTTGTAATAATTATTTAAAATAAAATAAAATGTACGCAATTACTTCAAGGATATATTTTGGTAGGTCTCAAACATTTATTGCAATATCTTAAATTTTAATGATAAATAAATTATAAAATTCAAGTAAATTTCAATTTTCAGTAAAACTTATGTTATTTCTGTAATTTAAAATACTATGGTAGAAAGGCTCACTCGTATATGGAAACTTAATTAAATAAAATACCACTGTTTTAACGATATTTTTTTAATTAATTTGTGTTTGGCTTGTCGTTCTGTTTCTAGAAACATATATCAGTACAAATGTACAATATATTTATATCAGTTAAAATCGTTCAATTCAGTTCAATATACATAATCAGTAAAAAAATTAATAATTAAACCAATATACAATTTTAGTATATTTAAAATTTGCTAAATGTAGCAAATCAATATAAAAACTACATTACAAGTAAGAACTACCATAATTTGCAAACATAATGTAAAAGCATCTTAAATAAGTTCTTCAAATAGGAGAACATTAAAATTCTTATTTTTTTTTTTATCCAAGTTTGTTACAATAAAATCACAAATCATTTTTAAAATGGAAGAAAAAAATCTCGTAATTTAGGGAAATTATAGTAGAAGAAGATTCAAACGAAAACGCTAACTATTTACGAAAACAAGAAAAATATCGTTAATGTACAAAATCACGTTTGATTTTACATTAAATGGAAGCGGACGACTTTTGATCACTTAAGTCGTAGGATAAAATTGTCCGGGCCATGTATGATTTGTCATGTGAATCATATATGATTTTGTACATTAACGATATTTTTTTTTGTTTTTTTAAATAGTTAGCGTTCTCATTTAAACATGTCCCAATCGAAGTATTAATCTACATATATATTTCGGGAATTATTATATCTTATAAAGGATTTATGTGAAAATTTATTTATAATATTAAATGTAATGAATATTTTAACAAAATAAATAATGTTATAATGTTTAAAATAAAAAAAACTATTGGAATTTAATGTAATTTATTTTAGACATTTTAATTTTTTCTTATTTATTTTAATGATGATTTATGAAAAGGTTGTTGGAGATGTTTAACTTTGTGAGACCGATAATAAACCAATTTATATTTAATGAATTTGTAATTATTATGTATTTATTTGTTTGTACCGAACTTCAATAAAATATTACCTAATGAAAATATGAGAGCATCTCATATTTATGTTATATATTTTCCAAATATATTATAAAAAAATAAGATCTTTAAAAATAATTACATTTAATTTTAAAAACTATTATATTTATTAATTACATTTTAAATTACTTTGATGAAAGTTATAAGAGAATCTTTATCAGTTATATTAAAATAAAGATTTTGGAGATTAATCTCTAGTTTTAAAGAAATTTCAAAAACGCCGTAGGTAAGAAAGAAATAATATTTAATTATTTCTAACAAGTAGGCGATTTTATTAAATGAATTACATTTTTTAACAATATAATTAAAGTTGGAATCTCTAAAATACGTGGTTGTTGTAATATCTTTCTCCAATTAGAGCCTTAAAATTTCCTTATATTGAAGGGTTTGTACTTTTATGATAAAATAATAAATAAAAAGACCATTCAATTTCGACAAAAGACCCACACTCGAGTTTCATAGCTTTTGGTCCATTATCATGATCATGATTTTTCTACCCTCAGAGACCTGCTCACTGCGACCCCCTTTGTGAGGAGGCACCCCTCCTCCTGAAGTTACGATATTAGAGATTATCTCATTTGTACAATCATATTTCATTAAGAAAATTCGGATTTATTTTAGTTTTTTAATTAAATTTAATGACTTGTATGACCCATCTAATTTATTATATATTAGTTATTAATTATATGAGAGGTGTAAATTACATTTTTAGTCACTATGGTTTATAATTCATTATCTTTTTAGTCTTTATAATTTTACAATTATATAGTTAAAAGTAGTGTTTTGACCTTAAAGATAAAATGGAAATGAATTGCAAGTTATAAGGACGAAAATAGAAATTTCAAAACCAAGAGGACTTAATCCGTAATCTTTAACAAACAATAGGGACGAAAAAATGTAACTTACTCTATAAATTTTATTATGAAATAATGCTTATGGGCTTTTATACAGCTTACCAAGCTGAAAGATGGTCTAGTGATGGGCTGCGCGTTCAACCATGCGATCTTAGATGGTACTTCCACGTGGCATTTCATGAGCTCTTGGGCCCAAATTTGCGCCGGATCCAAATCCATTTCCGTTCAGCCTTTCCTGGATCGGACCCAAGCCCGAAACACGCGCGTGAAGCTTGACCTCACACCTCCCAAGCAACAAAACGGCGACGTAGCAACCGACGCAAAGCCGCCGGCGGAGGCACCGGCATTAAGAGAGAAAATCTTCAGGTTTTCGGAATCAGCAATCGACAAAATCAAGGCCAAAGTCAACGCCAATCCACCGGAGGGATCCACCAAACCGTTCTCCACGTTCCAATCGCTCTCCACACACATATGGCACGCGGCCACACGCGCTCGCCAGCTCAAACCGGAGGACTACACCGTCTTCACCGTTTTCGCTGATTGCCGGAAACGAGTGGATCCTCCAATGCCAGATAGCTACTTCGGGAACCTGATCCAAGCGATCTTCACGGTGACTGCTGCCGGATTGTTACAGGCGAATCCGCCTGAATTCGCGGCGTCGATGATCCAGAAAGCGATTGAGGCGCACGATGCGAAGGCTATTGAGGCGCGGAACAAAGAGTGGGAGAGTAATCCGATTATATTTCAGTTCAAGGACGCCGGCGTCAACTGTGTCGCCGTTGGTAGCTCGCCTAGGTTTAAGGTCTACGATGTGGATTTCGGTTTCGGTAAACCCGAAAGCGTTCGTAGCGGTGCTAATAACCGGTTTGATGGCATGGTTTATCTGTATCAAGGAAAGAATGGTGGGAGGAGCATCGATGTAGAGATCAGTTTGGAAGCAACTGCAATGGAAAATCTCGAAAAGGACAATGAATTCCTTATCGAAGAATAAGTCTGCATTTGGATCTCCAGGTTAGGATTGAAATCAATTCCAGTTTGTTCAAAATTTCAAATTCGAAAGTCAGGATTGAAATCAGAACTCGTTTTGGTTCAAAAATGGAAGAATCGAGCTTCAATTTCAAGAATAAATTCGAATGATGGAATGGAAATTAGTGTCTGTTTGATTCAGATGTTGAATCATTAGGGTGTGATTTTGATTCCAAAGACGTTTTAGAGTTATCGTAATCATGTTTATGAATCTTGTTTTAATTTCAATGTGTTGTTAAAATTTGTATGCATATGACCGTCTTTGTATCTTGGATCAATTGTTTCAATGATGACCTGGCCATTTTATTTATCTATATCTATACTATATTATAAAGTATTTGATAAAAACTCTTAAAATTTATTTTTTTATACATGAGGTATTATATATTGATACGTATTACTTAAAATTCAAGATTACAAGTAAATTATATATAAGTATAATTTTATTAAAACTCTATGTTTGAATTCGTGTAACTAACTGCGGATAAACATAATCAAATAGAGAATAAACACCTCATTTTAAATAAAAAAATCCAAAACATAATTAAGATGATCATTGAGTTCTAACAGAATAATTAATTATTATCTTAAATAAATTATTTATTAAACCAAAAATAAATTAGTTCATTTTTAAACTTCAGTTAAATTATAATAAAAAATTGAATTAAAAAAAATTACACAAAAACAATAATTTTTAAATAGTTAATTTTGATACTAATATTATTATTTTTTTAAATTTTATAATATCTTCAAATTTATATTTTATTCAAAAATAAAAACATTTTTTTCTCAAAACTACATAAATTCGCATTATAACATCGATAGACCCAAAATATAAAACAAAACAATAAAATTAAGATATATCTCGCTGCATTGCACGGGTACAATTCTAGTAAAGTTATAATAATAACGTAAAACACCATACATTAGCAGTAGCTCAGTTGGAAAATTGGTGGAATGACTTTGTTGAAATAATGTAAAATACGGATGATATGTGTGATAAATTCCGAATAATTTGTCGAATGGTTAAAGTGACAATAATGATCTAGTTACTTTGTATAATTAAGTGTAGGGGTGCTCAAAAACCCGACCAACCCGATCAACCCAACCCAACCCAACGCGAAATAACTCAATCCGAAGCAACTCGATGTCTAATCGAGTTGTAAAATTGTCAAACCGTAGGTATTGGGTTACTATTTTTTGAACCCAACCCGATGAACTCGATATTTTTTTATTTCTTGGATTTAATATGATTGTTGAATTTATATTAATATATACATTAGACAATTACACTATCATGTATGTTTTTCATATACACATATTTTCAATCTATTCATATCTTTATATAACTAATTCAGTAACTGTGAACATATATATGTAAATTGAGAAAATTAACTGAATGTGATATACGTAAGAAATATGAATAAGTTGTATCAAATGGTTGATGATAAAAAAGAAATTATGAGTAGATAAATAACATATTCAAGATTAGAAGAATATTTTAATATACCAAAGTATCAACCCGACCAACCTGTAGAGGTTGGGTTGGGTTAAGATTTTTCCAAACCGCAAACATTGGGTTGGGTTGTTCAAATGTCCTCAACCCGATCAACTCAACCCATGAGCACCCCTAATTAAGTGTATATTGATGACGGTTATTTGTAATTACTTCGATTGAGAAGTCAGCTCTGAACCAATGTACGCTCCTACTATGTCGGGTATGTCCATATGCGTAAAATACAGACCCACATCGACATCACAAGGTCGTGCTATTTTTCCTCCATGGCCTTGCAAATTGCACGGTTGTGCTAGACTTGTTCAACTCTGTGAGATGCGCATAATCTTGTTGCACAACCATGCAGGGCCTCCTTGACTATGTTTTGATTTGGTTAACTGTCGTTTAAATGCAACACTTTTTGTGGATCATTAAAGATAACACTTTTTGTACTTATAGTTTTGAAATTACAAAGATTACAGTTTCGAGATTACAAGATGACCGATATATTTGGTCGCTTCTTTTAATGACAATCAAAAAACCGTTGAGCGAGGGGTATTTTCATTTTCCGATTCGATTTAGAAATCATGAATTACCTCCTTGGTTGCAACCCCTCTTAAAAACTAAAAAAAGGCCTACGAACACGAACGGGAAGGATGAAAGCGAGTTGGTATGCTAATTCCTCTCAGCCCTTCTCGTGGATTATTTTCTCAACGAATAAATAATTCTATGAATGAAATCTTTATATAATTCGAAAAAGCAAAAGCACAAGTCCAGGACAATAAAATATGATCTTTTTAATCTTTTACCTAATCAAAAACTATTGTCTCAAAATCGTAAAATCGATTTTGAGTGGAAAAAAGACAAAAAATACCCTCAATTTAACGAATTCTGTAATGACATTAGATAGAGTAACTAAATCTAAGGGTGCGTTTGGTTTGCAGGAATGTTTCTGAGGGATTTGGATTCCTGGAGGGATTTGGATTCCATGGGATTTGGATTGGATTGGATTTAAAATCCATTCCTGTGTTTGGTTTGCAGGATTTGGATTTGACTTGAAATCCATTCCTCTGTTTGGTTTGTAGGATTTGGATTAGATTTTTTTTTTTTGTAATTATTTTAATTACCAAATCTCTTTCATTTTCTTAAATCTATCTATTTAACCAAAAATTTAACAATGTGAAAACAATTAAGCAGTAAGCATTTGGATCAAACAGCCATCACTGATGTAAAAAGGCATTTTGAACAAAAACTCTAGTATCAAAGACATGGAACCAGTTAAACACTACTTGAGGGTTGGAGGTATTTATAAATGATTCTGGTTAAACCAAAAGAAGTATGTTATTGCTATGCTATCAGAATTTGGTTAACTGCTATGGTAAAACACACAAGATAACAAATGGATAGAGGCTAGAGGGAAAAGGGGGAGTTGGGCAAATGTGATGAACCAGATTTACTGAACAACTAAAATAAAAAGAATAGGGCAGAACAGTAGGAAATTGTTTGTAAATAACCAGTTAAACACGCCCCTGTTTATACTATAATGCATGACAACAAATTAGGGCAGAACCCTAATTTATGACAGCAAATAACCAGTTACTGTTTTGTCTTCAAGAAGGGGAAAGTGCAAACACAACTTTGAGATAATTTGGGTCCTCTAAATAACTGAATCGAGCATGTCTAATGCTATACAAAAGGGGTTATATGATTTACTTGCTGAGTGATGGGAGACGCCGGCAAACAGGAAGGGCGGGGAGCAGCTTCGCGAGGGGAAAGGAAGACAGCACCGGCGAGGAGGCAAACCGATTAGGGCACAGCTTCGCAAGGGACGAGACGGGAAGGGAGCACCGGCGAGGAGGATTGATTAGGGCGGGAGGAAGCGATGGGAGGGAAGCGATGGGAAGGAAGCGATGGGAGAAGCAGTAATCGAATGATGGGTAAGCGATGAGTGAAGGATTCGACAGGTTTCGATGGGGAGAAGCCCAGAATGGATTTCAAATCCTGTTGGTTTGCAATGGATTTCCAAAACCCGTGTCTAATGGATTTTAATGAAATCCCAGGATTTCAAATCCCTCCAATTTAGCAAACCAAACATAGGATTGGAATGGATTTCAAATCCAAATCCCCCCAAATCCATTCTAATCCCGCAAACCAAACGCACCCTATATGTTTTTGCAAATTATAATGGTCATTTTGTAATTTCAAAATTATATAAACGAAATAATTTAATTCTCGACAAACCACAAACCACAAAGACCAAATTTGTAATTTACTCTAACATCAAAATTGATTTATGAGGTTTTGTAATTATTTTGTTATAAACAAACCGAACATTACCAAATGATTTTTGGCCTAGCGGTATTTGAGTTTTTGATATTTTAAGAAGTCAGAGGTTTAAATCTCATAAAAAATAAAATGAGTTTATTTGTTCTATTTATCGCATATAAATACTATAAAATTCAAAAACAACATCCAATGAAACTTTTCATAGGAACTATTTAACCCCGAACTATTAGTAAATGTCAAAACAGCTCCTCCACTAAATTGTCGACAGTCGCCACTTCCTGTAAAACTTGATCGACACGTGCACAACACGTTAAACCCATATACTCTACAAACCGGAGCAAAAAAAAAAAAAAAAAAAACAGGAACGAAAAAACCCTAGCTGCAGATTTCTACGTTCATTTTCACTTCAAACGATTCCCTCATTTTCATATCATAGATTTTCGCTCAAATCACCCCTTCTTCTTGAGGTTGACCTGAAAATTCATCTTTGAAGGTATGTAAAGGTCTATTTTCGTTTGATACACGCTCGTAACTCGTTTGTTTATAGCCTTCAATTTTTTGGTTTGAGGATGAATTTCAATTTATTTGTTTATGCCCTAACCGGTTCACATTGTGCAATTTCATTATATGAAAGAAGCTTTTATGATTGACAGTTGGTTGAAGTCGTTTTGGATTCATATGCACAATCCAACTTATTGTTTTTTGGTTGTATCTATTGATATACGGACAGAGACATCTAGACATTTGGGTTTGTATGCATCTACATGTCCATGCACATACAACAAAACTAGAACTTACATTTGCTGCAAGGAAGGGCACCTTTTGGCCTTTTTAGGGTTTTTTTCCTATGTGGAAATCCAGAAACTTTGATTTATGTGAGGAGATGGAGCCTGAAACTGACTTAGGAATGGTGGAGAAGCTTGATTATCTCATGCTAAAATTCATTGCATCTCACAGTATGCAGTCTATTAAGTGAATTTTAGGGGAAAGTTGGCCCAATAAGAGAGAATTATTCCAAATGAAGTAGGTTATATAGCTGGTCAAGTGAATTTTATTCTCCTCTTTTCGGGCAAACATCTGTGTTCTCTTATAATCACTAGTTTTTTGTTTACTTTATTGAACTGCTGAAATGCTTGGATGGTTTATATTGAGATCAATTATTTTACATTTTTCAGGCATAAGGTCCGATGGTTTCTAGGCTTCCTCTTCTTGTTGGCTTCAAGATTGAGCAGAGGGGCTAGGTGTGATGAAACTCTCTTCGTAAAAAAGACTTGTACTATTGCTAATGTGGAATGCAACACTAGGAGGTTGTACTTTTTTGTACAGAGTAGTTTAACTGAAGATATGGCAACTTATCTTCTCCCGTTACTTCAATATTGAAATCAAAAGTACGGAGTGATCCACATAATTCAGCTCTATTAGGTGTATATCATTGTGGTTGATTATAGTTGAAGGGTCCATGGCTGTCATGAAACCAGAGGTACCCTCACTGTAGTAGTTTCCTGCAATATGATGAATTTGATATGTGTGTGGCTATGATTGTTCACCCTTATATATGTATGTATATATATTGTTGTGATTCTAATATTCTTACTGGTGCCTTATTAATCAAGATGAAGTCTTTCATTTGGCTTGAAACTCCTGATGGTTCAACTCAACAAGTGGAGGAAGAAGTTGCAATGTTTTGTCCCATGATATGCCGAGAAGTCCTTCAAACAGGCATGGGATCTTCCAAAAATTATGCTATAAAACTTCCTCAACGAGTTAATCCCTCTGTCTTAGGCTTAATACTTGACTATTGCCGGTTTCATCAAGTACCAGGGCGCTCCAATAAGGTCTGGCCAAGTTTTTTTTTTTTTTGTTTGTTTCATCTTACCTTTCAAGAATGTTGAGATTCTCTGCAATAAAATAAGACAGCTTTTAGTTAATCCTGCAAGGGTGGAAATCTATCAATTATTTTACTTTTTGTTCTCATTCCTTTGGGGTTTTCAGTAAGTTTAGAGATTACATGCTTAATATGGGGCATTTTGTTTCTTTAGGAGCGGAAAACCTTTGATGAGAAGTTCATTCGGCTGGATACAAAAAAATTATGCGAATTGACATCTGGTGCAGATAGCCTCCAGTTAAGACCATTGGTTGACCTTACTAGCCGTGCACTTGCTCGGATGATTGAAGGCAAAACTCCTGAGGAAATACGTGACACATTTCATCTTCCTGATGATCTCACGGAGGTATTATCTTATGGCAGTATTTTATTATTGTTGACTTTCAAGATTTTTTTTCCATAAAAAAGATGAAATAGATAGTTTTAACAGTAGAAAGTCTATTGCAGGAAGAGAAGTTGGAACCTTTGAGAAATAGGACTGATGATCCACGTATCCGTCTTTTGAATAGGCTATATGCCAGAAAGAGAAAAGAATTGAAAGTAAGAGAAACATCAAAGGTAAGCTGATAAATTTTGTTGTTGTGTCCTATGAAAATTCAACAACGATTAGTCTTCCAACATTTGAGATATAAAGTATGTTTGTATTTATCCTCAGAATGTTGAGATTGAAGAGGAGCGTGTTGATGATCGTTCTGTTGATGATCTTTTGTTGTTCATAAACAGCGGAGATGAAGGTATGTGTGTACTTATCTCGACCTTATAACCTTATGACCCTTCTACCCTGTCAATTTGATGTACCTTAAAAAATTTAGGTTCAATACTATGTTTGCATGCATCTTCTTACACTTGGCTCGTATATTATAAATTCTTATGCTGTATGAGTTCATAAAAAAGCACTCTCGCACCCCCAGACTTTTGTAAGCTGTAGTATTGAGAAAGATGTTATTGTTTACTCTTAACCACCTTTTAAATTTTTTTATCATATATGTCTTTCTCTTGTTGTCGCACTTTTCCAAAGCCGTGGGTCTTTATGGAAACAACTGCTCTACTTTTTTGGGATAGAGGTTAGGTCTGTGTACATCTTACCTTCCCTAGATCCCACCTCCAGGTCAGATATACTGGGTTTGTTTGGTTTGGTTTTGTATTGAGAAAGAAGATGAAGACAGGTAATGCTCATCTAACATCATCTTAATAATCATTGTTAATGATAAATGAAAGACTGTAAAAGTAAGTGATGGTTGGTTTTAAAGCGGATAACATGAATGCCTAACTACCTTCTAGTTCATTGTATGAATATTGCTAATTTATCAGTTTTGTGCTCCTTTCAGATTCCAAAGGTGTTAAATCGGTCAAGAATAAAAAGAAGAATCGTAGGAGAAAGGATCATTCAAAGGACTCTTCTCTCAACATTCAGAATGGGTGTCATAAGAAGGTTGGTAGCGAATCTTCATTCCGGCAGTAAGGGAAGTTTTCCTCTATATAATTTATGTATCTTACTGATGATTTAGGAAACAGATAGTCTATCTTCTTCCCATAACAGCGAGATTGAGGATGTGCCAAGTCCAAGTAAAATTTCGAAGTTGCTAGGATCTACTTTTCCTTCAAACCCCCCTGAGCTGGATTTTGATGATGAGTTGGATCCTGCAATGAAGGAAGAACTTGACAGGTTCGTTAAGGGTGCGTTTGGTATCCAAAAAGGATAAAACTGGACATGAAAACTGTTCAGCGTTTGATAATATAGAACTGGACATGACTGAATAGATAAAATAACCAATTTACCCCAATAAGTTTCTTATATGTATTGATTATTTTTGTAATTTATTAAAATATAATAAAATAAATATTTTTATAACAAAAGATACCATTAGAAAGTCTTCGTCAACATGATTAAAATGACACCAAAATAAAAAGTTCATGTAGATTCCAATTTTTATTTCATACCTTTTTCTATATTATTTTATTATTAATGAAAATATAGAAACTGTATAAAAATAAGATTTTGAGGATAGTAAAGTGAAACAATAAATAAAATTTAAAGAATGAATAAAATGTAAAGAGGAAGCATATTTGATGTTTTGGAAGAAAATTAGGTTTTATTTTGAGGTTACATTGGTAAAAATAAGTTTGTTTCATCTTGTTCCATGGGGTGGAGGTGGAACATGTCTGTTCCTGTCTGTTCAATATAAAAGTCTGCCAAATGTGGAACAATGATCCCTATTCTATCCTAGCCATTGTACCAAATGCACCCTAAGTGGCTTTTACCCTTTCAAATAGAAGATTCTTGTCATAATATTTAAGTTAGTTCTGTTTCAATACTGAGTTGGGTTCTTTTTGTAGGGAAGTAGAGGATTTTGCTCGGCGATTGAACTCCGTTTGGCCAGAAAGAGTGCCAGGGATCATTTCTTCGGGTCAAGATAGGAGGATTGCACCTAGGAATGGATAAACAGGCATGTATTCCTTTTTAATAATTTCACTTATACCTCTTTTAAAATGGCGTTTGATATCGACCCACCAAATGTTGTTCTGTAACAGGCATGGACCATACATATTGCTGATGAATTGGCATGATCTTTTTGGTGAATATTACATAGCAAGGAAAAAAAAAGTAAAAATCTTGTAGGCATGTTAGCTGAATATATATGCATCTGCTATATAATTTTGGGTTTTTTTTTCCTTGAGATGTGACGCTGTTCGTCTATTCTTAACTTCTGTTTGCCGTCGTCATCATAATCATGGATATTGGGAGCAGTTGGCTATAAAAAGAATCGCAGAGAAAAAATGTCTCGAATGATTTGTCAAATTATGTACATTTTACATCATCTTGTTTGTTGTGGTTACGAAGGAACCTGAAATTAAAGCAACCAAAGTTGGGTACTTGATATCATCTCCCAAAGTTCTGAACATTATGTTTTTTAAGTATATACAAGTACGTCAAAATAAACGTCCAGGATGAAAAGAAAATAAACGGTTTTAGGAGTATGTAATTAGACGAAGGATTGTGTAACAGTAAGAGTTAAGTTGAGAAATGTAAGAAAGTGATTTGGACCTTTGATCACTTTTAATCTCAAAACAACTCATAAGTTGTGCTTTAGAAGGGAATTGGTTTGGTAACATTAGTGTTGATCCAAGGGTGTAAATTGCTTCTTAACCTTCTCATCACAACTCTGATTGGTTTAAAGTACAACGGACTCAAGTGAATCCGATCTAATCATCTAATGGATGTTGAATTTTATCATCCAATCCAATTCCATTCCATGAATGATTGGATCAAATCAGATCAGTTCCATTTATTGAATAATACTATTGGTTATCTTTTAAATCAAATTGTATCCATCCAATGTTTTGATACAATTTCAACCAATTATTTAAATAATTTCTTAATTTACTCAAAATCACTATGTATAAACATCAACTAGAAAAATGATGGCATAAAATGTTAATAATCATATATAGTTAATAACTGAATGATAATAAAAGATTAATTGGATTAGATTGGTTCCTTTTTGTTGGATTTTAAACTGTCATCAAGAACTGATCCAATTCGGATATTGAAATTTTAGATCTGATTGGATTCCAAATTTTCTGGGAAAAGCTCAGATAAAAAAGAACAGAGGGAGAAAAAATCTAATGCAATTTATGTTAAAATAAAATAAAACAAGTAAAAGAAGCCAAAAAGGAAAAAGAAAAAGAGAACATGAGGTTTCTTTTTGAGTAAAAAAATCCTTTTCAAAAGTAGAGCCATTGGTAAAACTGGAAGCTCTGCCTAACAACAATGTAAATAGAAAAACAGTCTCACGCTAATCAAACTGCACATTGTTGGTCGGGTATATAATGAGAGATGAACCTAAATTTTTTCAAATTTGCTTTCACTCCTACCTCCTAATAAACCGCTCTTTGTTTCGGAATGTACTTTGTCTTCATGTTCTTCTCAGGCTTTGTCCTAAACTTGGGTTTAACGTTTGTATGGGTCGTTGAATCGATCTCTGCCACTTTCCCCAACCGCCCCTTCGAACTACCAACCACCATGGGATCCTCAGACTCGGCAACTTGACGGTTCTCTTCAAAATCAAGTTGCCCCGGTGGTTGTTCGGCCACCGATGACAGAACCAACTTCACATGGTCCCCTGATATTGCCTCCTTCCATCCTGCACACATGAAAGCAATTGCCGGCTAAAAAAATTGATTGGAAAGTGCATCTTTAAAAACGTTAAACGAGCCCGCAAAAGTACTCCTTTTGTCCAAAATAAGTGTTAGCGACTGGTTTTCCATCAAGTCCTGTATGGATATAGTTGACTATGTGGATTAATTTGTCTGTATAGATTGGAAAGGTTTTTGTTTCGTAGGGTTTTTCCATTGATGAAAGGAGCTAATTTTTTAATTTGGAGGGGCTAAGTTTGGAAAAAACTTGGCTTTATGCATAAAGCTCCCCCTAGAAGCTTACAGAATAAGTCACTTTATATATCATTAAGCCACTACCAAACAGTCATATATAGCTGACAGAATAAGTTGCAAGTCCCATTAAGTTCATTAAGCTGCTAACAAACAGGCTTGTACCTTAAAAAAGAAGTGCATGCTTTCCAATTCTGACATTGATTAAGAGATGGAGAAATTCATTACTCCCACTATCATTAAGGAAAAAGATGTCATTTAATTAATTAAAAAAAAGGCAATAATTATACATTTCTAAATCCAAAGTAGGAGTAAATTTGTATTCTCTAATAATTGCATGTCTGCATCCCAAAGAGAGATTTTGGTTGCCTACAACATATGCAAGGCCTTTTTCTGTTATATCATTGTTGTGCTATATACTCGGTCCAAAAATAAATGTCCACAATGGAAAAGGATTTTATAAATATGTAATTATTAAGCTTTTTAATAAACTGTATGACAATTGTACCCTTAACGATAGAAGGAGTAATGCATTTCTTCATAATTAAGGTTACAATTGGAAAGCAAGCAATTGCTTTTGTAAGCGGACTATTAACGAAATTAGAAATGTGAACAATTGTTTTGAGATGGAGGAAGTACCAAACAAATAATGCAGCATGAAGGAAGAATAAATAAAAAATATGGGGCAAAGAAAGCTTACTCTGTGCTAGAAAAGCTTTTGCTGCATCGATAGAGAATGGCATTGGCTTTGGCATAGCGCTATTTTCCACTTGTACATTAGAATCATCGGTACCCCTGATGTCATTTCCGTTCAAGTCGCACGACTGATGATCATTCTCACTGGACAAAGTGCCATTTTCAGGTGTTGCATTCTCCTTCAATATTTGACCATTGCCTCTATATGCCAATTGACCTCTTGTGTCGTTTCGGGGCCTCCAAAATTTGAGAGTAGAACGATTGGTGCCATTTTGGACACTGTTTGTCTTGATTTCTCTGTCGACCTTTTCTTCAAACTCGGCTTGACAGTTCCTCACAGTCACAGATATGGAACCAATCATCAGCTGACAATTGGTCTGAGTGGTTTGATAAATTGCATCATTCTGTACTCTGGATTTTACCAGCTCCCTTCCACCATTTTCAAATTTAGGCTTTTTGGTCCAAACTTTACTGCCATTAACCCTTTGTTCCCTGGCCTTCTGTGCCTGTTCCCATTTGATCATGTTACCATTCTGATTACTATGAAAACCGTTACGACCACCTCTTTGTGATTTTGGCACCTGCCATCGAGCAATGAAATGCTGCGAACCATTCTCCTGCATCTTCTGTTGCTCAGTAGCTGCAGTATCTGAATGATCACTGCTGCATCCACCTTGAGCTTCGATATTAACGACTTCTTCATTGCTTGAGGGGTCGAGAGGTGTGGCTACATGTTCATCTGGGATGAGAGGATTAACCTGTGGAGAGGTCTGGCTGCTGGACGTTTCTGCCGATGGGATGCTCTCAAATATATCAGAAGCAGTGTATAAATCTACCTTCATGCCATTAGAGTGATCCTTTGCCCTCTGTTCTTTTTGCCGAATCTTTCTTTGCCTTTTTCTTTCCAACAGCTCAGCTTGCCTATGTCCACAGCATAAAAATGGGTATCAGTTTCATGAAAGTAACAAGAATCCAAACCTCCCATCAATTTCTAGAGTATCTCTCAATAATTGATATAATAAAAAGAATCTTGTGGACAAAGATCAATGCAATCAATATAGTGTACCATTGTACCAACTACATTGAACACAAAGGTAAATTTTGGGATACATAATAATTGGAATCCATGCTTTGTATATGATAGAAGTCACAGATTACTAGGGAAAAAGCAGCCTTTGATGTTTGGTACATATTTTCCTAATTGTAAATTCTTAACAATTGCACCTTAAATTTTTTATAATGAACACGTATTTTTTTGAATCCTGGACCGTGGAACTATAAGGTGATGATAGGCATGGAAGCACTACACACATCTAATATAAGAATAAGAAATTGAGCACAGGCACCACAAACCTCCTCTGAGCAGCTTCCTCTTCCTCTACAAGCAGCTTCTGGCATCTCAATGCTTCAGCATCTTTGTCTGCAAGCCATGCCTTCACCTAACCAGATTCAAAATTGTATTATTAGTCAAACAAACTTCATCATGATGAGAAACATAAATGGCATTGTCTTTAAGACATTTCTATATATAAACTTTTTATATTCATCCACTTGCAGGATGTTTTTGCTGGATTCAGCTTTGCATACTCATGCCTTCTTTGAATACTTAATGATATTGAATGCTATTGAATGCTTGTTTTGATGCATTTATAATGTTGATATCTTCCATCTGTGTATCATACACATTGTTTTGTTTTCTACCCTAGATACAAAATGCATCCATCACAAGTATAGTACTTCAAAATTCAGAAGGGTAAATGGCATTTTAACTCCAAATTTATCTGGTTGAGTTTAATTTGAAGGATAAAGATTGGCAATAAACCCCTCAAACTTTCCCATCATTGAGTTCAAAATCTCTAATGCAATCACTTGTAGCAAAAATTAAGAAGTCAAGGGTACCAATGTGACATCGTCTGTTTTAAGGTGACAAACTTGGAAATATATGTTAATTATTTTGGGGTTGTTTACAAGGCGAATATCTCCACATCTTCCAATCAGAAGTTAAATTGGTAAAGCTGTTGATTCAGATTAAAAATTTCAATGAGATGTTAAATGATCTTGAAGGAAAATCCAAAGTTTAGCTTTGTATTTTTGCACGGACTTCAACAAGTTCCTCACAGTTAATTTTTTTCACATCCTATTCTTATTTAACGTTAATCAAGTTTCATTTACGTCAAAGCAAACACAAATCTTAACAAGATACAAGATGCGTAACTTCTATCTAAACTCAATCTGTTGTTTTGGACTCTACGGTTTAACCAAGAAGAGAGATCATTTTGAAAACGTGGAAAAACATTCAAACCCAAAATTTGAGACTTTCCTTGGTACTTTCTCAAAATTTCCAGACATCATGACCCAGCTCTATATTACATATACCATAACCCTTAAAGCCAACTGTTTAGATGTACATCACTCAACCAAATTATAGAATATTCTTATCATTAAACATTCCTGTGAAGCATATAACAGCAAAGTTAGGAGATATTTATTGCTGGGCAAAAGGATTTCGGATACAAACATGATGGGTCATATCTTCATGATATACGATACTAATACTTAATAAGCGGGTATAAAAGAGAATATACCAATTTTTGTTCGGCAAGAAAACTTGTGCAAGCAATTAAATTTTTCATCTCTAGGCCAATTTTCCCGGCTTCCCCGTCAAAGACGTATTTTTGCAATGATTCAGCTGTTCCGGCACATAAGAATGTTTTCTCACTAGCATCATCAAGAAGACTGAATAATTCCTCGGAGGAAATTGGCAATCTGGAAGGTCTACCTTGGACAATATCCTGCAAGTAAGCATTCCTAAGTATACCCTAGATATTAAAATGATAAGAAAAACTGAATAAAATCAGCAAAATTACCACAAGTGCAGAGCCAGCCTTCACGTATACTTGTGGAAGAGATAGAAAAACTGGTTTCCGTAAATTAGCTGCAATATTCCTTACTATGGAAGAGCCTGGAACTTCCTAAATGAAAGGGACAATCAGAATAACAGTTCAGAAGTTACATTATATAATGGAAATGGCCCTATTGATATATGAAGAGATATACTAATAAGGCAGACACAGAATCTTCTGCATCAGACTACAAAATTGTTTGTATATGAGTTAAATGAAAGAGAGATTTAGCTCCCTAAATTGATAAAACCAAAATTAATTAAAAAAAAATACATGTAGACCAAACAACAATTTCAGAACTTCAAATCAACTAAATTGGGAAAGGAAAGTGGGCCAGATCAATACCTCCAGATTAACATCCTTGAAAGACATAATATCCTTAGCTTCATCATAAGAGAGCTGCAAAAGACACATTTGTGAGCAAATTGGGGCTGGAAAAGACCTTCCCAAGTGCCTAGTATGACAAGGAAAGTTTACCTTATCCCAAAATGCTCCTAGCAAATCCCTATACTTCTGAGGTTCCTAAACAATCAAATAAAAGGAAATCATATAAGGAAGAAACTGTACATATAGGTGACAGAATATGACAATGGCAGTTTAAATGAAGAACACCATGCCCAGGTGGTGGGGACAGTGAGAGAGAAAAACTAGACATATTAGGATGTACATTCAAGTAAGAGAACCTTATGAATATTCATAGATCGGCGATGCACTCTCATATGTCTCCGGTAGTTGATAGGCGAGCAAAACTCACGGGCACACTTATCACACTTTTGCATCTGAACTTTCATAGGAGCCAGCAAAGGCCAACCAGGGAGGTCTGCACATAAAGAAGGCATTGCCAGGTTAATGTTGCTTGTAACAATCTGCAGGACTTGTCCCAGCTTAACCTTTATACTGAAACTGTATACATCATTATTCTTGTTTCTGTAGTGAAACTTAAGAGCATTACATTATTTGCTAATGCATAACAGCATTTAAACACAGGAAAATTATGATCAGTGCTATGCATCTATGTAATATTCCCATCCTTATATGGAGCTAATGTTCGGATAATTGAAAATTTTGCTAATACCTTGCTGATCCAAGGCATGAAGTAACTGTATCCACTGCATAGGGCTGTCCCCAGTCCTCGAGAATGAGAATAAAGGTTCTTTCCCAACAGCTTGCCTAATGAAAGTATCCAAGGAATCAGTCCCCTCCTCGGATTTCATTGCATCTGGAATACCAGTGCCCAAAAGTTTTGCGACAGGCATCTATGCTACAAAGCTCTTCTCCACACTGCGGCTGTACTAAAAAATTTACAAGGACATATTAAATGATTTATGCCAATCATAAATGCACTTAACAAAAAATAATAAAAAGATTGATGGAACATTAACATTATGAGCACAATACAATTTTAGAAAAAATATTGAACTAATCCTATGACAACACAGCAGTTAATTTCTGTATCAAGCATTTAAATAAAGTTCCATTATTTTGTTGTTTAATTGAGTTATTGTAATAATGGATAAAAGAAGATCTACTCCTTACTCAAGTTTCTAGGAAAACCATACAAACTTCATTGATTCCGTCTTCCTTATTATTTTTATTCGTTTTCGTTGATAACTTTCCATTTTCTTCTTTCAAATTTCAGAACCCCCTTTTATTCGGTAAAGGATCTCTTCTTTCAAAGCGCACCCCATTCGTTCCGCACTTCCGCTTGCAACAATCCAAGTCTTTGATTACCTCAAAATCACTTTCATACCCCCACAATTAATTTATTCTTATCCATTTCCCTTGATGACTATCCATTTTTTCCTTTTAAAATATCGCAACCCCTTTTTATTTGGTAATAGACCACTTCTTCCAAAGCGCTCCCCATTCGTTCCGCTCGCAACGCAACAATCCAAGTCTTCGATTACCACAAATCACTTTCATACCCACAATTAGATACTATAATGGCCCCTAAACTAATAAGGTCTTTCACCGAAAAAAGGGTTAGGAGCAAGTGGAAGTATTCAAGGGGAATGAACTTCTACTCAAAATGATAAATCCTCCTGTCAGGTCATGTTCAGTCACATCCTTCTACGCCAAAGGCCAAATGAAATAAATGCACATCTAATATTGGCAATGTTATGTGGTGGAAATGAGAGGAATTCAGCTGGTTCTACCGATGTGATAAATAATAACAATAATATTACTCAAACGTATTGCCAGAGATGTAACAATAATATTACTGCAGTTTTGGAATCCCTCATTTCTGTAACTAAAAAACACTATAACTAGAATTTAATATTATGAGCTTCTAAACCAGTTTTGGAGATTCTGATTCTTTGAATGACCATTAAAAAATTAAAAATATGACATGCCAAAGCACTTTCACAGTCAAATCAATCACCATGCTCAAGATGTACATATATGGGTCGGAATCAATAGACAGAAGAAACCATGAGAAGAAAAGGGTGTCTCAAGAGAAACAGTATCTTCCCAATGGCCAATGCCATCTCTTGGAGCAATCGAACATCCATAAACCTGTTAGCATGACAAATTCCTAAAATGGTATTTTAAGGAACAAAATAATGGCATCCCATCCTGGAAAGGCCTTCCATCCATCCAGTATACAAGTAGATTATCATTTGAGTACCGTTTTTACGCCAAGCACCATTTATGCATATGGCATGGAATAATAAGCCTATCCAAATGCACCCCTGCAACTTCAATTGTTCCAATAAACAAATAACACCCTAATCACAATGCTGGGCCAAAGAACCAATTGCTATCCTAACAGAGACGAGATCCTGTCTTTCTACTTAATCAAGTGTAAAATAGGGAAACTCATAACAAAGAATAATCAAGAACGCTTGTCAAGTAATAGGCCACATAGTCATCGAAATAGTACATACATCAAGAAAATTTATTGAAACACCAATCCAACTCATTTCATTGTCAAAGTATCGCATAAAATTACACGGATTACAAACAATAATAACAGAGAAAATCATAAAGCACATATATATGTAAAAAACAATCCTAAATGCTAAAGCATTAATCGGATCATAAAGAAAACACATAAACTATAATTTTAATAGTCTCGGTAAGCAGATCAAACTAGAAGTGCCGTCAGCGAACATGTGCTAGGGTTAGGACCATGTGATCTGTGATTAGCACGTGAACGTACTTTAGAGAGTTTAACATACCAGTTTGGGTTGCGCAGGTGTTGAGAGATCGCCGACGATCGAGAGAATCGCAGACGGCGGAGAGGCGGCGAAACGATGGTATTAAGAATTGCAAAAAGCTTTATGCGTATAGCTTGCGACGAAGGAGAGAAGCAGTCGGCGAAATCTTGAGACAGAGAATTGAAATGAGAAAAGAAGAGAGAAAATATTTATACAAATCGGGAACAGGGAGGCCTTTTAAGTATTTAAAAGCCTCATTAGGATATTATATTATTATTACTAATATTAATTTCGTGTAAAATCCGAATTGTCTGATATTCGAACCTGAACTGAAAATTAAGCGTTCGTGTGAAACCCGAATACCTTGAAATATGAAAATCCGAAATCTAACTTTCGGGAGATAATTTTGTTCGGAACGAGTTCGATTTTTGCCCATCTGACCCTCACGAAAATCTGAAATACACACACACACATATATATATATATATCTATACTATATTATAAAACATTTGACTAAAACTCTTAAAAACTCTTAAACTCTTAAAACTCTTAAACTCTTAAAAACTCTTAAAACTCTTAAACTCTTAAAAACTCTTAAACTCGTTCATCTCTATCCGATTTCATCTCATATCTGAATTCGTGTAACTAACTGCAGATAAACACAATCAAATACAGGATAAACATCTTATTT